GAAACGCCAATTATTTAAACAGAGGTACCTTCTTGATTGACTAACTTTGATTAATTCGAAACCCAAGAACAGAAGAATGAAAACCAAAGGACGATTATTGCTTGCTTTAAACGCGTACCTTGTGAATTTGAAAGTCAGCCAGACACGTGATGGAAAGGGTGAGTCATATCACATTCATGACCATTGTGTTTCTTCTTCAAATAATTAACTGAAAGATTCTTTTCCAATAGTGCCACTTTTTTCATCCGAACCTATTTCACCAATACATGAATGACAAAGGTGCTTTAATAAGTTCATCAATGAACCGCAAAACTTTCACACATACACAGGGCTGAGGTCATGGAAATCGAGGGGGTGGGTGGGGGGACTTTGTGTCGGCCAGCAATACCAGGCTCACTTTGTAAAGTAGCTGAAACTGGTCATATCTTATTGATCTACCGGCAGCTATAGTATACCTTTAATTCACGGGTGACCGCGCTTAAAATCCAAATGTTTATAGAGTGAGTCATCACATCAAATTACCTGAAGTGAAGTGAAGTTTTGATCTGCTCCACCAAGACAACCTATTTCTTATTAACATAACCGTCACTCCGAATAAATTGTTTTCTTATAGTTTCGAGTGAAAATGTTAACTCCAAATTCATACACACCCAAGGTAAAATTGACTTTCACCATGGTTTTCTCAATAAACTTTTCCTGCCTCAACTGCATCCCCATCACCTTGTTCGCCGCTGTTAGTGAAGAGTAGCATTTAAACTCCATTCTTTAGACAATAAATCTCAAGCTCAATTCCTCTTTTGGAATAACACAGAGGGCATGTTAACAATAGCAGCAACTTTGCCGTTGATTTAAGCAATCGAAGTAGTGATTTAACGGTGACTATAGCATAATGAAACATGCATGCCAAAATCAATTCTATTTTTTTTCAATAGTCAAGGTAGGGTTTGGAATCTGGTTTGCGATTTAACTAACACACTACTTTATGGGAGAGTTAGACAATTTACTGCAAATTTTAAGTCTACCAATGGCATGGAAGTGAAGTAGGAGACATTCGATAAATGACTCTGTCACCATACCATTTTATCTCCTTTCCCATTTTTATTTTCCCTTATTTAGTTCAGTGGAACGAATTACAATTTTTCATAAAGAAAACTTTAAAGCAAATATCTATTACTATAGACTAGTCATTAGGATTAAATAAATATGTACAGATCTCCCGATATATTTTGAGTTTTCTAAACCAAAATCGCAAGATTTACTTTCTCAATTCAGGGTGTGCGATAGACTTACCTCCACGTGGTGCGCTCTGGGCAACATATACTCATAAGGCGAAAAAGTCTATTGACCGGCAGTTGACTTCTGACTTCAAACTACCATCACCCCACTCTATGTCATGTTCCACTACTTCCACAGTTCTCACCTCACTTTTTTTCTACCTTTGTGTCTGTCTGCCTTTTTACATATTTGAAACGCTCTTCTGTTCCCCCCCCCCTCTCTTGACTTCCTGTTACTTTGATGTTCCTTCCCTCTGTGAAGCCCGAAGTCAAATAAAGGGCGAATGATAACTACCAAAACGCCTGCCATTTGATATAACTAAACATTCTCAACCCAGTGAGGTATTTAGTATTTATTAAGTTTCATGCATTTTTCTATCTATTATTACCTCTGATCTTTCTACTTATATCGACTTGATAATATAATTTACCTGACCTGTTTGCACCTTGTCTTGTTCGAAATTAATGCTCGTGGCTAAACTATTTAATAAATTAAAACATGATATCCTTCCATACGTTTGTATAGATTTAGTAATTTGTTCATAACATATCATGTGACCAGGAAGGTTACCCGGTGTTTAATGACAACCCTTCCAGAAACGAAAAATAAAAATAAAATATGATATTTTTCCCTACTCGGGGTGTGCGATGAACTTACCTCCACGTGGTGCACCCTGGGCAACGTATACTCATACGGCAAAAAAGTCTATCAATGGGCAGTTGACTTCTGACTTCAAACTGCAATGACCCCACTGTACGCCATATTCGACTACTTCCACAGAGTACTCACCTCACCTTTTTCTCTACCTTTGTGTCTGTCTCTTTTATATCTATAAATCACTCTTCTGTTCACCCCCCCTCCTCTCGACTTTTTTCGATTTGATGTTCCTCTTCCTCTGTGAAGCCTGAAGTCAACTAAAGGGCTAATGATAACCATCAAGACGCCTGCCATTTGATATAAATAAATAAATAGCTAATGGACAGTCCACGTTCCAAAATTAAAATTTCATGAATCGCCGAGCTAGATTGCAGCAGACGATTGCCTAAGACGTCAAATGTTTATTAACCGGTATTTTTAATCATTATTAACAGTTTCGACGCACCTATTTACTTTTTAATTCCACTTCAATGTCTGGCAACCAAGATGTCGGTTTCAAACTAAATTAGGTGCTCATGATTCGAGCTGGGGTAATTGTGAAAAGTTCTCAACAAGTTATCGGGAAAACTTCCACTTCATTTAAGCCCTTGGATTCACCTTTCAGGTCTTAGATCTGATGGTGATGATTATGATACAAGCAGGACAAACTGTTTATCATCTAACTTCTGGTAAAACTCATATTCAAAGTGGCATACACGACTCTGCGTCTAATCAAGTACACAAGAAGTGAGTTGTGAGCTCTGTGATAGCGCAAACGCGAGTGAACCCAAGCTTCTAATCCTGAAAATCAGTATCCATGACGTCTGTCCTCTAATCACATTAAATAAAAAACCAATCTCCAAGCGAAATTACGTTCCAAAACGTAACGAAGACAAACGAGTCCATGGGAGATTTAATCTTTATTTGCAAAAAAAATAATTTTTTAATCTCACAGGAGACTACTTTAACCTTAATATCGAAAGTTGTTTAACCAAATTTTACTCGTAATTGAAATAGTAAATATCCATTTTGAACAATGCAAAAATAACCTGAGATAAGAACTACATCCCGGCAAAGCGTTCTCGAAAAAAATGGACCAAAGAGAGTTTGTTGAGCACAATAAATTTTTGCATGAGGATATAGGATTTTTTGATCACTTCATAAGACTATTCTCCATCTTTCCTATTCTCTCTCTCCCTCTCTCTCTCTCTCTATTGCCCTCCATTGATCATTCTTTTTCCTTCAGATAGAAACGGGAAAAAATAACTTTGTAAGTTTAAACAAGAGAGCGTGCACGTAACGTGAGCTAGGGAAGTACATATAACAACAGCAATACGATTACGTGATGGGAATGACGAAGTGGGAGCTACCTAACTCTTACTGCAAGAAATTGGCACGCCCTTAGATAGGGTAAATAAAAGCCTTCATTTAGGAAAAACCATATTTACTTTTAATTCGCAGTGGCGGTATGCATATTCGAGAATGGAACTCAAAATTCGTCGGAAAAAAAGGTAAGCGCAAGCACTTCAATCTTGACTGTTAATTGTACAAGTGAACTCTATAGACCAAATCCATAACACGACCACATCCTGGCCTCTTCCCAAAATCGTAATTAAGTTATGGCATTTTAAATAAGTCAGGTGGCAAAATTTCTCATTCAACCACCCCTCTCCCCCCCCCCTCCCCAATCCCACTCTGCTCATTCTATCTATATTTCAATCAAGAACTGCGCACCAACAAATGTTGAACCCATAACTTATCGTGCACGGATGATATTATGCGTCAATGAGGAGTGCCAATACTATAGACAAAGGAAATCAACTGCTTACCGTCAAACTTCATCTTAACATTCCTCAAATGCAGCTCCTTCATTGTGAAATTGCGAATCAGACCAAAACAGAGTTCAATCACACCACCGTCCCCAAGTCCCGGATTATCACTCAAGTCAAGAAACGTCAAACCACCAAGAAGTGGTGCCAGACGTTCAGTAGAGCATTGAAGAACCGCTGCTAGATGTTTGCCAGCTCCACCGAATCCTCCATTATTACCAAGACCATTATCAGCCAGGATGAGTCGCTGAAGACCCCTAGCTCGAGGAAGAGCACACTTGGGAGGAAGATTGACAGTGTCAACAATGGTGGTGATTGGGTCTGAGTTGGGATTCATTGCTTGAGCGATAGTTGTCAAAGC